AAATTGAAATTTGATCGTCTCTTCTCACGACACTCCAACGCTACAACTAACAATTTCGTCGCATTCCTCCGGTAGATTCGTCACTCGGCACGTGTTCTCGTCGGATCGTTGCTTTTCCATACTACTACCCAACATGCTACGTTCTCCTCCACGCATACCCGGAGCCACGTACTTGCCCGGACCTGGTGCGCCCACTGCAAGGAAAGATTCGATCAGAATCACAAAGTCAAAGAAGAATTATTCCCACAGGTACTCACACATTACAAAATCACGCTTGCCAACTGAACGATAGTATGGAGAACATTCAATACCGAAAAATTATTTATGAATAAAATGAAGTCGAAACCTAATATATAACAGAAGATTACAGAAAATAGATCAAGCTAAATCACATCGACAACTTACAACTAGACCACATTGCATTATCACTCACATAACACTGGAACTAGTTAGGTGTTTATGATCGAACATGAATGATTTTACTTAAAACATCAATCACAACTCAGGAACACATCAGAGGACTGCAAATAAATGGAGTCATGAATGCACACAAGTATTACTTCACACATCTGGATATCTTCAGATATGTGGAATAATACACAGTTGCCACAAAGAAACTTAGGTCTTTCGATCTGAAGTCGAAACTAACAAAACAAATTTGTCTAATACTCTCAACCTACTTGCTGTCCCAAGTTTTCCATCGCGATCTCTTGTTGCCTCCGAATCCTCTTCGTCGTTCGCGTACATCGATTTGTACGGGCAGCTCACGGACCAATGGTCATCAGCCTGAAATTAATTCATGCTTACCCAAAATCCAAAAAAGATTTTCAACACTCAGAAAAGATTAATGCTTTCCAACCATTTTCACTTACACTTGTCTCTTTTGAATTACTGTCAGCAAAATTTTTTGAAATATTTCAAATTAAAGTAAACTATGAATATCATGATTAGTGATTACAAATCTCAAACGATCACACCGTATTCTTTGATTCAAATCAACAGCTTGAAGAATTCAATTCAAGTGAAAAATGCTGTGAATTTTCATAATCAACACCAACCTTACAGTATCGACAATGTGTTGATGATGAACCCTTCATCGAAACTCGCGCGGTTTCTTCTCCAGTGTCCAATTGTTGCTGAAATAATGGTTATTTGTGGCCACTCATTAACCAAACTGATCAATAACGCCACTCTAAAGGAATGTCGCATCAACATCTATGAAACATAAAGTTTGCATTGTATTTTCATGATCATAGTATCACCGATTGAAATTGTACCTTATCTATGTGTTTTCAATCATATGCACATACCGTTAATGAACATATAATCGTCCACTGACCATTAACGAATCAACTGAAAAACGTAAACA